AAGTACTCAGATCTTGTACTTGAGTAAAAGTAGAAGTACTCAGATCTTGTACTTGAGTAAAAGTAGAAGTACTCAGATCTTGTACTTGAGTAAAAGTAGAAATACTCAGATCTTGTACTTGAGTGAAAGTAGAAGTACTCAGATCTTGTACTTGAGTAAAAGTAGAAGTACTCAGATCTTGCTCTTGAGTAAAAGTAGAAGTACTCAGATCTTGTACTTGAGTAAAAGTAGAAGTACTCAGATCTTGCTCTTGAGTAAAAGTAGAAGTACTCAGAAATTGTACTTGAGTAAATTAGAAGTACTCAGATCTTGTACTTTAGTTAAAGTAGAAGTACCAGAGTGTAGGAATACTCTGTTTCAGTAAAAGTCCTGCATTCAAAATGTTCCTCAAGTCAAAGTAGAAAAGTATTCTCATCAAAATATAGTGAAAGTAGCAGTAAAAGTAGTCATTGTGCAGATTGTTCCATTTCAGAATAATATATATGATATGTTTTATAATGATTGATCATGAAAGTGTTCTCAAAGCTGGTAAAGGTGCAGCTAGTTTGAATGACTTTGTATACTGCAGGGTAGCTTGTGGATTTACTCCAGGTGGAACTAAAGTCTGATTTAACACTTGGTTATATTTCACATCATTCATCCACATCTGTGAAGTAACTAACGGTATTAATGTAGTGGAGTAAAAGTACACCATGTACCTCTGGTTTGTAGTGGAGTAGAAGTACAAATTAGCATAACATGGAAATACTCAAGTAAAGTATTTGAGTAAATGTACTTAGTTACCTCTGGAAGAATGTGTGCGGGCGATGAAGCATGGATGTTGAGTTTCCCTCGGTGTCCTTCTCTGGATCTTCATTAGCATACAAAAGGCTTCAGAGTGTTTGACATGAGGAAGCATCGGAGCTAACGAGTGTCAAACGGACGGATATTAGACGAGAAGCTTGATCAGAAATACATAAGATTTAAAAATGCTCAAAGGGTTGATTGTCATGCACCATATCTGCAGCAATCTGAAGTCCCAGGCTCTTCAACATGCACTAATTAAGTGAATAAAGAAACACAATAGTGCCTTAAAATAGTGCAAATTAAATAATAATACAAGTTCAATTCAATGATAAGCAGAATAAAAGCTTTTCTCTGTCTCTTGGAATCACTTTCTGTTATTTATACATGTTTTATGACCAAAAATAACAAAAAGCAGATGTATATTAAAGATTACACAGGTCAAGAAATGTTTGCAGACTAGTTTAAGAGACACAGAGGTGCAAGTAAACTGCAGGAATAAGTACAAATACATTAAAAAGATCAAACTGAATGTGAAATTAAAAACTGTAGAGTATAATAAATACACAATACTGTAATAATATATAAATATGTAGATTTTACGATCACAATTCTTTATTTATCCGGGTTAGTTGCTCCTTTTTTTGAATAAAAACCTTAACATAAGAAGTAAAAGTAAGAATATGCAATAGTATTAAATAAATATATTTATATAAGCATCATTTTATGGAAAGAGATGTGTGTGTTATGAATATTTTTCATTTAATTGTTTATTTGAACCGGGACAGTGCACATTAATGAACATTTTAAACAAAATAATGTTTTTAAATGTAAACAGAAATACATGAATATAAATAGTGCATTAAACACATTTGACTTCAGTTCATTACAATAAGTAGGTTTCTGTGTCACCGACCCTGCACACGATGACGTGAGATGAGCGAATCAATGAATCAATGAATCGACGTCTGAATCCAAACAGCTGAGTTTAATTGGAGGGAGAATGAGATCAGACGCATCAGAGAGACTTTACGGGGAATCAGTGACGAGAACAGAGAGAGGGACAGAGAGAGGAGAGGAGGACACATATCACTGTAACACTGCAGAGAGTATCAGCTGTCAAACTGAGGATGGTTGTTATTCACATTTTTAGTTTGATCAATATGTTATTTATTATCTGAGGAATACATATTGGTGTATGTAGAGTGTCAGAAAAAGGTGATGAAAAGTGATATTATAGTATGTAAAAAAACGTCATGGAATTGTATGTCGAAACAAAAATACTATTATATCAGAAAATACCAAAATATATGAAAATAAGTCATAGTATAAAAATATCAGAAAAAACTTCATGGTACAGTTTGTAAAAAAAATGTCAAAGTATAGTGTTTCGAAAACATCAAAGAAAAATATCAGAGTACAGTATTACCAAACATTTCTAAAAATAAGAGAACATGAAAAGAAAAAATTAGTTTATCCCAAAAATATATATAGTTCTGGTAAAGCATCTCCAAAATATCAGAACAGTACAGTGTGTTTTCAATGTGATTACCTCCAGAGAAAGGAGCTGCACAGTGTGTGTGTTCAGTGTGTGTTCAGTGTGTGTTCAGTGTGTGTTCAGTGTGTGTTCAGTGTGTGTGTGTTCAGTGTGTGTTCAGTGTGTGTTCAGTGTGTGTTCAGTGTGTATGTTCAGTGTGTGTTCCGTCCTACTAATAAAAAAACATATTTTAAATCCATAAAAAAACGATTAAAAAAACAGGAGAAAACTATATTTTTTAGAATAATATAAATATAATTAATTTAAAAAAGTCAGGATAGCAACAGGCAGTACAAAAACTAAGACATATTTAAAATGTTGTGTGTCCATGCTCAGTATTTTGTGTTCCAACGTTTATTTACCAAAATCAGAAATCAGGTCAAGTTTCTGTCCATAGTTAAATAATGAAAAAGCTTCCTTTACCTCTGAGCTCTGCATCAGATTTCATTATTCAATCCTCTGGCGCCCTCTAGTGTCTGCTGAGTGAACAGCACATTTATAAATAAAGTACAGTAAATACAAGCTTAAAGGGCCCATGTCATGGCCATTTCCACTGATCATAATTACATTGTTGAGGTATACTAAAATAGATTTATACTGTGCAATTTTCCAAACTCACATTGGTTTCGCATACAGCATCTCTGTCAAGCATGTGTATTCAGCAGTATTCACTTTCTCCACTAAACGACTCGTTGGAGCTCTTGCCCCCCCCTCCCTGTGAGCCTAGTGTGCTCCGATTGGTCAGCTCGGCCACTCGTTCTGATTAGTCAACCACCAGAGAGGCTGCGCCCATGTCAGTGCTTTTCCCGGCTGCTCTCAGCGTAACATCAGTCTTATCATGGCGTCGGTACAGCGGTATATTTTATATACATATATATTTTTAACTGTTGTTATAGAAGAGTGTGACGGCCTCAGGGCCTTTGTCTTACGGTGGGGTGGAGCTGAAGAGGGTAATCAGCGCGATCACGGACACCTCCGTAGCCGGTGCTATTAATCCCAGCGGCCCGGAGTCTCTCTCCAAAGCGGCTGCAGAAGGACGAACTGAGCGACCCTCTCCCCTCGACCACCTGTCTCTGCATTTACCACAATAAATGTGCCGTGGTTTTGTAAACTCGTGTGTGTCTCCTTGTCTTTCCGTTGTGGCCTACGAGCTACTCTCATAACAAAGAGTAAGTTATTTTTACCCGTTATAAACTACTACTGTTTGATGAGAAATCAAATCATGGTTTGCTATATATGAATTCAGGGAAGAAAGGATAGGCCTACTAAGTATTTCCATTAAACTTTATTTTTAGAAATGTACAAAATGAACATAAATATACATATATACACGGTATATCATCCATTCCTCCTCCTCGCATCTTGCCTGCGCACAGTCGGTGCGGTGCCTTTTAGCACCCTCAGTAGTAGTAGAATCCCTTCCCCGTCATGGATTGTCCGCCAGGATCTGGCTGAACGAAATCAAATGCAAATCACAAAATATTAGAGAAACTTAGTTGTTTTAGATTCGTTAGTAGTAGTTGTGTAATGAACAGCTTGCCTGCTAATATGCTAACCTAGCTTTGTTTACCTTGGTAGCTAACACGATATGAACGTTAGCTTGGAGGAAAGGCAACTATAATGCAGTGTAATAAAACTACTATGAACAAAAGCTAGTGGTTCATATTAGGCTAGCAATAACGTGTTTATAATTGCAATCGTATACGGGTATTCTGCTACGTTCGGTCATACAATGTAACTTGCATGAATACATTGTTTTGCGCTAGCATACAGCTAGCCTCGTTAGCTACATGCAGTATATGTACGGTCACAATGTACGGTAAATCACAGTACAGTATACTGTATGAGTATTCCGTGTGTGTGACTGCATACATTCTCCTGCCATGACAACATGTAAGGCCATCTGCTGACATTGTAGTTGATATATTTAAACGCTAGCAACGTAGCATCACAAAAATGTTTTTCTGACCAAAACTAGCTCTAGCTCCGTGTGTTAGATCGCTACGCCAGCTATAATGTAATTACGTTTCGCGACTGACCGGCAAATCACCCGGAGTATACTGTCAATAGGTATTTTGTGTGTGAATGCAGACATTCTCCTGCTATGAGATACATGTATGCAAGGCCATCTGCTGATATTAGAGTTGATATATGGAAACTCTAGCAACTTAGTTAGCACAGTTAGCACTGTGTCAATGGCTTAGCAGTCCAACACAGTTTACACATTTAAACAGTCTTGTTTGATAAATACACAAATAACAATGCAAACTTACAGGTTGTATACCCAGATCTTCCCCTGCTCCAAAACGGTCCAAACAAGCTGTGCATATCCGGCCTCAAACTGGGCAATGTTTTTGGAAGCTTTCGTCTGTGAAATGCCGGTTCATCGAACCTCTGGAGGAGGAACACGCTGCTGGTGTGGCCATAGCTCTTCGGGATTGGT